TTTATATTGTATTCTTATATTATATAGGAGGTTATTGCAGAACATTTGTTCAATGAAGAGCGCAGTGGAACAGAGTTATGCTGCCTTGTGCTTATACGTATGTTAACYAATCTAGTAGTTGTGGCCCTGATTGGTGGAGGATGCTTTCTGATTTATTATACAGCTACAATGTCKTTTGGGGTGAGTTACCATGATTTAATCATTGCAATCCTTATAGGGTAGAGAATCACATTCAAACCTGGTTATGGGATTTTTAATGTTGAAATTTACACAGTATTTTGTATAACTGCTTAGCATAATAATTATTATATATCAAACAATTATATATATAAAACAATTGTTATATTTTGCTTAAAGTATTKTATTTACAATGTGTTATTTCCAGGTTGGTGTWGAAGTATTTGGAAAGCTTTTATTCCCTATTATTGTGTCCGTGCTTAACCTAGTACTGCCTGTGTCATTCCGTATCATTGCCAGCTTGGAGCAATATCAACACCCAAAAACATCCATCCAAGTCAACCTTGCACGGTACATTGATTATACTAAGGATTATTATATTATTACTGTTAATACATCAAGCACCTGACTAAGGACTTCTTGGAGTTACAAGTCGTTTATATTTCTTTATATTCTCATTTCTTCTTTGAACTGTGGTTTGATGTTAATGTTTAACTGATTTTTTTTCTTGCAGAACTGTTTTGCTTAAATTGTCAACTATTGGGGTCATTCTGATATCATTATTTAGTGATGTGACCAGGTGCCGTCAAGGTCTGAAAACACTAGCTGACAGCCAATGTTTACCAGTAAGAATTATAATAATGCATTACATAATGTGATTATTATCTGCGTTAATATGTTGTTGAATGAATTACTAGATTAAGCATCATAACAGAAGTTTAAAAACTGAGATATGGCTCTGTTTCATATAATTACATCATTTAAGATCACAGAATCTGTAAWTAAAATCTCAATCATATCTGGAGTATTGATTGATTAGTAATTCTTCATCTAGGACATGAAAGAGTGCTGGGAAACCTATRTTGGAATTACATTTTACCGCCTGATWCTGGTTGACTTCTTCTTTTTGYTGTTGTCAACATTTTTTGGAGAATTTGTAAGAAGGTTGGTTAAAAACTATAATTCTTTGATTGCCAATAATTCATATCTTTGTTTTKTGAAATATGGTGTGATTTATGAAGTTTTCAATCATTTCATGTCATTTTATTTTGTAGTCTTTTTGCAAAGTATGTTGGATGGTGTGGTCAGAATATTGGCTTTCCAGGCTTTGATATTTCACGTAATGTGCTAGATCTGGTATATGCACAGACCTTAGCATGGTGTGTACTATATTCGACTTTACTATTATATTCAATTTAGTATTTTACCATAGTCTTTAGTATTTTACCATGGTCTAATAATGAAAAATAACAATCATTTTTGTACCAGGATTGGAACTTTTTTCAGCCCACTTCTTTCAGTTGTGAATGTAATCAAGCTTTTTCTATTGTTTTATGTCAAAAGGGTAAGTCAAACWTTTTGATTTTTTTTCCAGTTGAAATTCCTTAGTAAAGTTATTATTATTATTATTTGTATCGTAGGTTAGTGTCGTACAAAACTGCAAGGCATCTGGAAGACCATTCCGTGCTGCTAAAATGAATTTGTTGTTTTTGATGTTGCTAGCTGCATCTTTTATGGTGTCTATAATTACTGTTGGATATACAGTGATGTCTGAAGATGCCGATATGTAAGTAGAAAGTAGTSTAGTATGACTTTACTTACTACAACAACACCAATTCAATTTCTGAATCCAGTTTTTAATATTCGATACCAGTAGAAAATTAATCTTATGACTTAAGCTTACATCTCATGAATCTTACATGTAGTTAGTTTATTTTTCTGTGGTGATACGATTGGGAGAGAAATTGTGTATAAGCCAAAATTTTAAGCTTAAGTCTAATCCATATAACTTAAGCTTAAATTAAGTTGAAATCAACGTATTGGGGATTTCTCATTTGACATCTTTTCGTTTTCMTAGGTTAAAACCATCCGCAAAATGCGGGCCATTCAGGTAAGTAACATCATACAATTGACAGAGAAACATACCTAGTAACTTTTCTCTTAACTTGTCGTAGTTTGTCTACTTCTAAGTACCATTTTAATTTTATGCCATTTGAAAATGCGTGATTCATCCGGCCAGCCGGCCGCCATTTTGGAAACCGCACTGTGTGGTACGCGCGTCATCAAATCACATCAAATTTCCCGCCTTTTTTACTCTGGAAGTAAATAAAAAAAATCAAAAAAACCTTTTGAATTTCAAGGTATTGTCTTCAATTTTTTGTTTGTTGAAATGACCGAATTTTTTTTCTTTCATCAGAGGTCAGGAGAGGATGTACCAAGTGATCAGCAACGAAATTACAGATTTTCCTTCAGCTGTCAAAACAGCGATACAATACTTGTCATCAGCCAGTTTTCTAACTATGTTGTTTTGTATTCTKGGGTAAGAGAGCACACCTCTTATACCAACTTATTTTTTTTTTGATTGTCAGGATTCAATCAATTGATCAAGGGGAGGGGTAGTATTTGGAGTATATTTCCTGAAACAGGAAGCCCAATAAAAGGGTACACGAGTTGACTGTTGACTAATATTAGACTGTCCTTTTTCATAGAATTGTTGTCTATTATTATAAGATGTTAAAAGACTCAAATGAAAAGAAAATCAAGTTATTAAAAGATCAAATAGCTTTGGTAAGGTTGTCATTATTATACTGAACTTCCCTTATCACAATAGTCTTTGATTTTTGCTACTTTCTCGACTGATTCTAGGCTGGACAAGACAAGTTATTCCTGATGGGAAAGATAACAGCAGGAACTGGTTTCCGTGCAACAATGGACAATGGTGCACAATAAAGTCCAGCTATAACATATAATCACAACAATACTGTTATTTTTATTTAGTGCAGTCACCATTTAAACTCAAAATATACACATTAGCTGCTACAATAGATAAAATAGTCATAATAATGCTCCTACTGCCAGTTCTCTTAGATCTGGACATTAATTCAAGGGTGAGCACTATTTGACCTGTTGTACTTATGTAGCTGTCTAATGTACAGGTATATTAGACTATTTGCACATATTAATAAAGGAACTGGATTTACGAACACAACAATGGTTGTGGTATGATATAGTTAAAATCAATAATGATTATCAATTTATATTGATTATTAATGTATCACACTAAATTTAAAATGCTATCCAAACATTTATGCATTGCAATAACAATAAACAATATATTTCATTTGTTGTCAAAATATAAAAGAAATCATAAGAAATCTCATAAGAACACATACGAACAAATCTACATGTATTATTTGTAATGCATRAKAATTATATTCAACAAGAACACTGTACATGAAAATTGCTCAGTAACATGTCTAGTCAACTGCCTTTTTACAACTTCATAATTATATTGTACTATTTTATAACCTTTCTTATAAACAAGACCATGATTGGCCAAAGAACAATATTTGTTAGCTCTGGATTTGATACACAATGTAAATTACTWGTAAACCATATTCATTTTGTAAAGAAAGACAATAATAAAAGTAGAATTAGAATTTCATGTGAAACTTTGGTTACTTTCCTGTCAAAATAATTTGGTATGTGACATTTAACCTATACCAAATACAAATTTTATGCTCTTAATTTTATTGCAAACTCTAAACCATTCATTCTTGCAATTTGGCTTTTAGCAATAACAGAGAGAGAAGGCGGATCTGAAGCAGGTAATCTTTGAAGAATGATATCCATAATTTCCTTGTTAGTTCCTCTAAGATACCATCTCAGGCAAGTGATAAATGGCAACAATTTTTCTTTCATTAGAAGAATGACATTTTCTTTCAGTCTTGACATATGGTCAAGGCAAAATAGTCCTATTTGCTGTGTTAACTGTGTTCCTGGACCATGGATGTTCAASGAATATTCACTGGTAATTGATCCACCAGCRAATGCCAGACTTAAAAAGGGCATCATTGTTATCCAGACATAATTATGCTGCTCTTCCCACTTTGAAACTTCTTGTGCAGTGTGCTCTTTCAAAAACATTTCCAATAATTCATCTACTTGTTTAACAAGGTCACTTTGTAATTGTTTTGGATGAGGACATGCAATGACTCGAGCCAGAAAAAGACAGCAATAATATCTATAATGCAAGAATAATATTATTTGCTGGATATACGGATTTATCTCAAGGGTAGAGCTATTGAACGGACCCCTGTAGCACAGTCCACAATCCATGTACAGAATATACAGGCTGGATAGGTTTATTTGGTCAACATTACACACTAAATCTTACAACCAGGACCAGACAACATCACAACAATAAACAACAACTACAATAACTATTGAACTAGACACTAGGAAATCGCTTGAAAGCTATTAAATGACTGTACAATACAGGGCAWGTATATTACCTCAGTGCCATATCATGGTCCTGTGTCATTAAGCCTTTRGTCAGKTCAATCATCTTCAAATGCACATTATTCTCTACAAGTACAATGGGCGTCTTGCWGTTGCATGCACAAAGAAATAATGTATTAGCTGCAATCTGGCAGGAATACACGCTGTAGTAAGTTATTTCACGATGAAGACGACAATTTACCATGAAGACAAGTTTGTTGATAGCTCGTTTGTTGTTCACTATTGAATCTTGGATATTGGAGTATTCTGCATACCTAAYGAATTACCAAGAAATTATCAAATACTACTCTAAAAGTAATCCATTATTTTGAGATTAMACTTACTGCACAAGGCATCCAACTGCAGTTTCATTGATGCTATTTACAACCCAAAACGTGCTGTCTCCAGGAGTATATGGAATTGGATCTCTGAGTAAGGCATCACAGACCATCTTCAATCCATCATGTTGCAAGACAAGCTTACGATCAACATCAGTTTCTGAGAAGTTCCATAACAAACTCAAACAGTGCATCTGAAGGACCCTCTGTTCATTGTTATAATAGTCCACCAAACCACCTAACTCTCGTAAGCTATAATTTCTGAAAAGAAATAAAACTATTGAGCTTAATATGCATGCAAGGTATTAGGAAAAAGGGAAGCCATTCAGAGATCTGTATCTTACTAAATGTACTATAATCTTTGTGTATTGAAATTKTTTGCATCATTGCAGGATTAAAAATGGAAAATGAAAGGTTTAATAGTGCAAAATTTCTGTTTCTAAACAAATAAATAAATAAATCAACTTTGTTTTAAGAGGGTAAACAAGTGGCAGTAAAGAACTGATGAATTTGTGGCCCTCTATACTCTCACACTCACTACCTCTTCATTAAGTATTTTATATAGCACACAACACTCCTCACATGTTGATTTTTTGTTTCTGTTTTTTTTTAGAAGAGTATAATGATCTGGGTTTAGGGTATGGCTATTCACCCATCGTATCACTGACTCCAGTTGAGAAAACCTGAGAAGCAACCATTTTCACAAAATAATAAAGTAAGAATACTAAATGCCAACATGGAATGTCAAACTGTTTAAATATTATTACATACGGGTCATTTTCTGTGCTGTAAGTACATGTGTATCTAAGCTCTGCAAACTTGAAAACATCAAGAAATTTATCAAATGCACCACGTTGAACAAAGTAATGTCTYTGAGCAACTGACACTGAATTCTTCCATGGAATGAAATACTCAAAAGCGAGTCGCTCTGTCGATCTTGTAATAAGGTCATACTTAGGAAACTCTGTTGGATCTCTCATGGTTTTCACATCAAGTATATCGTCTTCTTTCCAGTGATTTATATTAGCTGCAAACTCTAATAAATCATCDATTAATGAGTCCATTCCTTCAATGTCAATCACTGATAAATATTCCAGGTACAGCTTGTCGCCATCCCTTAAATACAAGCTTTTTAGGGTTGCACAATCATCGTTTATCAAATGTTTCTCGGGGTAAAACAATCTCTGATCGCAAATAGGGATAGAAAGTGTTGTTTGGATGATGTATTTTATATCTTTGATCGTTTTGCTGGTCCATTGTTCAATATTTAGTTTCGTCGATTGGTGTTGGTTTGAAGAAATCTGCTTGTAGTCGAGTAATAGCCGAAGGGACGTCATTCTTTGGACATTCACGCTTTKGAATCATGAAGAATAGAGAGGAAAATCACCAGGCAACTTTACGTAAATGATAAATAGAAATTTAGCAAAGATATCACAACATAAACATCAAAATATTCCTACATTTTCATTTGTATTCCCTGATAAATTCGTTCGTTCGTTCCCAGAAGTCAAAGTGCATTACACAGGAACTCCAAACCTAAAAATTCATAGGGTCCAGTTCGATCCCGGCCCTGTATAACTTGCTTCAGTCGCTCAAAAAAARGGTTTTTATTGCTAGAAATGTGAATTGCGAAAAAGAGGTAGAGCATAAGTATTAGTACAAACAGAGGAAATCTTTTGATTTGATAACAACTAAATTGCAGCTAAAACACTATGAATCTTGCGCAAAAACAACGCAAAAGCACTAGGCTGAAACAAACAATTGACTTGGTTTCACAGTTGCTTTTATTAGTTTTTTATCATCAGCTGTATCATTTATCCATACTTTATCATCCCCTTTAAAACTATGATCCCCTCTATCAACTTTGATTGATCTATCTTTTATTCGATTTTTATCTTTAAAGTCAGTGAGATGCAAATAGTACCGACTCATCATTATTAATTTTCATTCAGTCGTGTTATCTTGTTGGATATTCTTCTAACTGTTAAGGCAACATATCTGAAAGGAAAATTAATGACTTACAGTATATCTGGCATATAATATTGTATCAAAGTCATAGCAAGGGCACATCAAGCTGGGTAATTTCCTTCTACATCTGAGCCTGTGTACGTCCGTTTCACCCTCCCCCCACTCCCCCTTTATTACTGGAAAAAACTTTTTAATTACGGTTCACAAATGTAGAAATAGAAGTTATGGCGTAAATAATGAAATAAAAAAAATGAATGGGACTTATTCCGTGAAAAAATATCTAAATCACATGTGAAATCTGCTACCTTTCCTCTTCAGTTCTCTGGAAGTGATTGGTCCTTGTGTCACCATGACTGACCTTCCATCTTCATTACGTTTGCCGATCTTTTTCTTGCTGCAGCCACGTGAACACACACTCTTCGCATCATTTCCGTTACAGGCTATCACGTGACAGCGGAAATAGACATGTTGGTGTTTACCAAGGAAKCGGAAGGCCTGGACACTAAACCTTTGCACATTCTTGTTGGGTGAATTTAGGAACTTAAGTGTTGAATCCATGGCACAACTATGAATGTAAAAAAAATTGTCATCTTTGAACGAACTTACTACTAACGAATTCTTGCGCTCTTTGAACTGGTTCTTTGTTTTTATAAAAAAAATCGACAAGTTAAGAAGCCCTTGCGGCGGCTTTCCGTATCAGATTTCTTGAACCTGTCAACTGTAAATATTATATATTGAATGAAAAATAAATGAATACTGAACACAAGTTAACAAGGAACCCACCCGTCTTTGATCAACCAATGTTTGGGTGCACCTTGAGCATTCTTAGAGGGGGTAGCATAGCATTGCTGGGCCAGCACTGACAGCTCTTTTCTAATAGATCTCACAGCTACCTCGACATAAACCACTTGACGCAGATGYATCTCRATGGGATACTTATTGTACGGGCTTCTGAACTTGCTGCTAGGAAACAGATTCAAAGTGAAGTTAAACTTGCCSTGWGAATGGAAAATCGAGATGAATTTGGTGGTGTTGGGATGTAAGTTCAATGACGTCATTTCTCGTTGACGTGGATACGAACACGAYATCGTTATGTTGATGTCATRAATGCGGCTGATGACTGCACTCCTCTTCAGCGGASTCCCAAGAACACGGTTGCTATAGGTAATTTTGGCATTGGTTTTGCTGGTTGTAGTCCCACACTGGTCAAAACCTGTCTTAAGGTAGAAATTCTTTCCATCCTCAGTAGCKCGACAAGACGGTTGGTTAAGACGCAGGTCTTTGGCGAGTACAAAAGGCAAGGAAGACTTTGGTATCGTTATCTGCATGTGATTGGACGAGCAGTTGAGCTGGTTATTGGGATTGCCTKCATGATGACGTACTGTGTAAAATACAGTGGTATGTAGTATTCACTATAAATGATCTCTCATTACAGAGTAGATGTCATTTAAGAAGATAAGTAAATTACTTACAATTTTTAACTTTAAACTTCTTCCCATTATCATTAGTGTTACCATGACACCACAGTCCAACATAGTTGTTGGTTTTAGAAGTCGCACCTGCGCCAGTCATAGTAACCTGTTTGACTAGTTTGTTGTCAATATAAATCTTGACCTGGGTACCTTTGACAACACTCTTCAGGTTGTACCATCTTCCTGATCGGTAATTGTAGTTGATCCTKGGAGAGYWTTCCTTCCCAGTAGTAGAAATARMCATATACTTGGCWKTCMACAAATARTATCCCCAGGCCTTAGTTACCAAACTTCATAAGTAGGCGTGGTCACACGTAAAAAAAGAAAATACAAGTCTGTATCAATATATACTTTCTATWGTTTTGAATTGGCAGTTCATCATTTATGTTGTGATTGGCTGGATCCAAAAACTTTAATAGATTTGCTTTATACTTACCCACGCGAACGATGGCTTCCTGTTTTATATTTGAAGACGTGTCCACAAACACCTTTTGCTGAACGAGATGACAGTATTCTGCTTGTTATTTCTAAGTTATTAGAATGAAAAAAAAAACATTAATCATCAAAATTCTTCATGATCAATGTGGTGGCCCACTCAGTACATCGATCTTTCAGGCAGCTATGCTTACCATAGTAGTCCGAATTAACAGGTGTCGTCCAAATTCGTGCAGGGCCGTAGTGCCATTTGGCATCATTTAACGGCATACTGAAACTCCACGAGTTGCCAGTATCTTTCCAGATTCCATTACCAGCCGTTAGGTCACGCCATACACCTTGATAGAGAAAACAATTTATTTCTTTATCACAAATGACTTCATGACAAACCAACCCAGGCTCACACTAGCTTAATTCCCGTCCGTTTTCTCTTCTGATTTTTGATTTGCTGATCTGTAACTTAAAGTAGGTATATGGAATCACATCGGTGTTGTTTTTGAGGGTCGGGCGCAGGTTTTTATCTTCATCATATACAGGGATCAGTCACCGAGACATCGGTATTATAAGTCAGTTAGTGTCAGAGATTTTTAAAAATGTTCAAGGGTTAAACTGAAAAATTTACTTGGAATTCGTTGCTGTAGCCTGCTAGTAGTTATAATAACTCCTTATAGTTAAATGTTTGTTGTTCACTCCTTATGCATTGAAGACAAAACAATCAATCTTTATGGTGTGGTTTACCTTGAGCAAAATCAGGATTTGAAGCAAACAGTAGAAGGATTATTGTCACTCCAAACATCGCGTCTACTCAAAACTTCAGTGTTTTTGAATGAAGATAAAAGACAAACTTAAACAAAAATTCAAAGATTTAAGAGTTATCGTTAATAAATTATGTGCATCAAAAGTTAACGCTTTTAAAAAGCAAGGAGATCCAACAATCGGCATCCTTTTGCCAATACCGTCGATTGACTATATTTCCAACCTGTTTTCAATCTGGTTGCACACGACTTACCGGCCTTGAGATGGATTTGTTGTTTTCAGTGGTAGTTTTTAAAAACGGTTCATACCTCAACTGATTTGTCCGAAAAATATTTTCACGTTTTATCAAGTTCAAATCTTGTGCATTGCTGTTGCTAGGCAATGCGCTTCACCAAAGAGGAAGTTTGTNAGCTTCCCTCTTTCCTTTGCTTCGCTGTCTCTGTCTTTGACTTCCAGGTCCTCCACTGTATTCTCCTCAAGTCCAGGTAGACGGGTGCGCAATTTGCGACCAAATAGTAGTTCTGCGGGACTAACACCTGTTGTACTGTGGGGTGTGGTCCTGTACATGGTAAGGTAGGCACCTAGTTCCTCTTTCCAGTCTTTGTTCTCTATTTGTGCAATTCTGATGCGCTTTAGTAAGGAACGGTTCTGACGCTCTATTTCTCCGTTGGCTTGTGGCCATAGCGGTGTAGTGTGACGATGGTGAATTCCTTCATTTTCCATGAACTTCCTGAATCCGTCGCTGATAAACTGTGGACCGTTGTCTGTTGTAATACTTATGGGTAGTCCATGCGTTAGGAACATTCGCTTTAGACTGGCAATTATCTTGTCTGTTGTCGTCGATTTCATTACTTGTATCTCTATATATCGACTGTAGTAGTCCACTACAGCAAATACATGATCACCTGATGGCAAACAGGGTGTCATGAGATCTATTGCTAAGTATTGCCATGGTCCATTGGGTAGCTCTGTTGTCTTGGTCGGTTCTGGTGGGTTAGGAGCTCCAACTACTTGGCATGGATGACATGTCTTGCATGCCTCCTCAACCCCTTTGTCCAGGCCAGGCCACCATACCTTTGTTCTCAGCCGACGCTTCATAGTTACTATTCCTGGGTGTCCTTCATGAGCAATCTGGAGTACTTTCTCTCTCAAGCTCTCAGGGATGACGATTCTTGTTCCTCTTAGTACAAGTTTTCCGATGACTGATATCTCATTCTTTATCAGTAAATACCTTTTGTTTTGCAGATTGTTCCATTTGTTTTCTCTGTAACACTTTCTCAAATTAGATAACTCTGGATCAACAGCGGATGCTTCTTCTATTTCTCTAGTAGACATGGCTTTGGGTGTGGCACTTTYTGCAACATAACGTACATACTCCTCTGTTTTCGAGTCTGGCTCAGTGGTTTTGGAGGTGAGACGTGAGAGTGAATCAGCAATATTCGTCTTGCCTGGGATGTGTTTCACAACAAAACTGTAGGRTTGCAATCTCAGTACCCATCTGTTCACTCTAGCACTAGCGTGTGACTTCCTAGAGTAAATAAACTCCAAAGGCTTGTGGTCAGTGAGCAATTCAAAGTCAATTCCATATATATACATATGAAAGCGTTCACACGCCCAGACAAGAGCTAGGGCCTCTTTCTCTGTTTGAGAATWTCTTCGCTCAACGTCTGACAAACTTTTACTAGCATAGCATATGACTCTTGACTCACCATTTTGTGTTTGTACAAGTACAGCTCCCAGGCCAACTGGGCTAGCATCTGCGATGATTGCAGTCTTCGCCTCAAGGTTGAAATATCCAAGTGTTTCTGCCTTTGTTAGTCTCTTTTTCAGTTCAGTAAAAGAGTGTTCCTGTTCATTTGTCCACACAAATGGTTCATTCTGCCTGGTAAGTTTCCTCAGGGGATCAGCAACTGTAGCTAAATCAGGAATGAACTTTCCACAGTAATTCACTAGACCAAGGAAACTCCTGACCTCAGATACTGTTTCTGGCCTCCGAGCATTAGTAACAGCTTCAACTTTAGCCTTAGTCGGACCAATTCCTCGTGCAGACAATAAATGTCCCATGAACTCAAGTTCTGACATGTGAAACTGACACTTCTCCTTGTTGAGGGTTAGACCTTTGTCCTGAATCTTCTGTAGTACTATCTTGAGACGTTCATCGTGCTCTTCCTTTGTTGCTCCGTGGACTACAATGTCGTCATAAAGGTTTTGTGCTCCTTCACAGTCCTGTAGGACTTGCTGCATTACTCTTTGGTACATCTCTGGGGCACAACTTATCCCAAACATCAGACGTTTATAGCGGTAAAGTCCTTGATGCGTTGCAAAAGTCGTGATGCCTCGTGATTCTTCTTTCAATTCTATCTGATGGAAAGCCCATTTCACATCAAGTTTACTGAAGACTGTACTTTGGTTTAACTCTTGTAATACCTCATCTACTGTAGGTATTGGATGACGTTCTCTAATGACGGCTTCATTAGCTTGTCTCATGTCGACACAGAGTCGTATTTCGTTGTTCTTCTTTGGTACTATTACCACTGGGGAAACCCATGGGGTCGGTCCCTCAGCCTTTTCAATTATGTCTAGCTTCTCTAACTCCTCAAGCTTTTCTGCTAGCTTCGCTCTTTGACTTAAAGCTATGCGTCTGGGTTGCTGAGCTACAGGGTTGATGGTATCATCTATTGGTATCTCTAGTTGAAAATCTTTCAGCTTGCCAATTCCTTGAAAACATTGTTCATATGCCTTGAATGACATCTCACCAGTGTTTTTCTCTTCTACAACGTTGGCACTAAGGCTGACTGGGTCACTGATCTTTAGAATACCGAGCTGCATTGCTGTATCTCGGCCCAGAAGAGCTTGACCATTCCCTTCGATAACAATGAACTCTGCATTGAGGGTTTGTTTTCCAAGTTGGATGCATGCTGTGAAGCTTCCTGCAACTTTAAGTGGTTCTGTACTGCCATAGGAGAACAACTTCTTCTGGCATTTCCGTGACTCACATTTCACTTTGCTTGCTTTGAGTGTCTCCCATAATTCTCGGTCGATCACATTACAGCTTGCTCCAGAGTCAATTATGAACTTAATATTCGGCACACCGCCTATGTTCAGCGCCAATTCAGGTTGAGTTCTCCCAGACACGACAAAAGCAAACTCCTCTTCTTCAACAAGATTTGCTGTATGTTTTCCACCTACAGGTCTCCTCTTGGTTTTGCAGCATTTTGCAAAATGTCCAGTTCCATGACATTTATTACATTTTTTTCCTCTTGCGGGGCATTTCTCATCTGTACTTAGGTGTCCTAAGCTATCACATCTAAAGCATCTCTTTTCTTTATCATTTGTGCCTCGATTTCTCTGTTGTTTAGGCTTGTCACGCTTGGATTGGACTCTATTTACTTCATGAGTTGTGTTTGAACTAGCGATACTCTCCGCTTGCGTTGCACTCGCTTCCATAGCCCGTGCCGTAGTCTGCAGCTGTGTTAGTGTTAGACCTGCACCTTTCTCGAGGAGCTTTGTTCGAAGGCGATTAGATAAACACTTTTCTATCACTTGATCTCTGATGTTTTCATCTACGTTGGCTCCAAACTGGCAGAAGTCTGCTTTCTGTCGCAACCTCGTGACGTACTGGTCTATGGACTCTGTAGGGAGTTGGGCCATACTTCTAAATAGATGTCGCTCATATGGGACATTGACTTG